ATATTTATAAAGCATATGAATTATATTTCTTATAATATACATATGTTAATGCTTTTTTTGACACATTTAGTCATAGTGTCTGGAACTAGACTGGAACATTTAATACAAGATAACAAAAAACGTTTTCTGATATGGCACTGAAAGAGTAAACCCCAACATAAAAATAGTCGCCAAACCACGCAATGAAGTGGTTAGGATGGGAGTCTGGACATTGACCAAGAGTATAAAAGCACATTGCATCGGTACTTCAAACATAACTCGCACAACGACTGATTGAAATAGCCACGTCAAAGCCGCTCGTTCAATGTTGTTTGCTGTATGATTTTGAAGTGGGCCTGTCAGCAGCAGAATCAAGTCGCCGAATTCACCAGGCATTTGAGGATGATGCCGTTAATGAACGAACCGCTAGACAATAGTTCCAGAAGTTCAGGTCAGAGGATATGTCTCTTAGTGATGCACCACGCAGCGTTCTGTCACAAACGCTGGAAGATTAGGCCCTGAGAGCAGCCATAGAGTGATAGTAGCCAAACATGTAGAAAATTTGCTGCATACTTCCAGGTATCTGATGAAATGATCAGACTCCATTTGCACTGCATACGAAAGGCTTACCAGCTGATCAAGTGGGTACCCACTCACTGTCCAATACAAAAAAGCAACAGTGCATCGCTGCATGTTTGGCATTGTTTACTCGGCACTGCAATCCATCCATATTTGATCGAGTACTCACCAGCAATGAAAAGTGGGTCCAGTATGATAAACCAAGGCATTCCAGACATTTTTTGTCACCATGAGACCCTGTGCCTCACACTGCAAGACTTTCTTTTCACCCATGCAAGATCATGCTCTGTATTTGGTGGACTAGTCGTCAAGTGTTGCACAATGAGCTCCTGCCAGTGGGCCGAACCATCACGGCTGGCCTGTACTCGCAGCAGTTGAAACATGTGCATCAGGCAATGATGCATAAAGAGCCAGCATAGGTCAATCGTAAATGTGTACTCCTCCTTCATGACAATGCAAGGCCACATGTGGCTTGGAAGGCCATGGACTGGGCAGGGAAACACTACCCCATCCACCATACTCCCCAGACCTTGTGCCAACAGACTACCACCTTTTCCATTCCCTGGACATGAAACGCTTCGTGTGAAATCCTCCAACAACATGCCAGACCTCTAAAAGGCCCTCGCAGACTTCTTTGCATCCAAGACTCCCGAGTTTTATCGCGATGGCATTACACAGCTAGCCACTCGTTGGCAAAAGGCACTAAATGCCAAAGGTGATTACTTTGAGGATTACTAGTGATTATTATTTGTTTTATACTTTTTCTTTCTGGCCGTCCAAAATGGCAAGAACTTTTTGGTTACCTTGTATAATTAAGTGGCATGCAAACGATTATTCGATACTAAGTATAGTTCTGAAATAAATGTGTTAAGCTAAGTAAGTATATGTGTTAAGCAAATTAGATGGAGACATAATCCATAATTTATCGATATCCGTATAAATTCCATGTTTTTGGAAAAGTAAGGTATAATTTGCACCAAGGTATCAATCATGAAAACAGAGTTAATTTCTTTACTTATTATTTTCTTATTAACGAGAAAATCATATGCTTGTCAAAGTAAAAGAAGGGTTAAGTATAGTACAGTTAGAGTAATTGGAAAACAGAATAAATAATTAAGTTTCCAATTTTTAAATATGGAATTTGTAAGGCAGTTAAATAATTTCAATGATTAAAAATGAAAAGCTTAATAAGACATATTACAATAATATTTGTGTGAATTTAGAAATGCTTAACAAACCTGATTTTTAAATTTAATGAAGAGAATTTTTACAATTAAATTAGAACTATTTACCTAAAATGGTTAATATGAGTTAAAACCATTCTACTATCTAAGAAGATTTGTTAACATTTAGCTTGACAAGAAAACTAACTTAAGGTGCACTATATATCTGATATTTGATAGGTTGGTTATATATATTTATCAGTTTTATACATATCAAAACTGATATACAAGTATATACAGTACAAAGTCTGTAATCCGGATGTCCATTATCCAGGATGATCTATAATCCGGACCTCAAAGCCACAAACTTTTTTTTGTATGCTTTACGCATGCGCGTTTAATGAGTTTACACATGTGCGTAAGACTATTTAAGACTTTTTGAAATTTTTAGCATAAAATCTGCTGTGTGGAGCATCGCAAGATCGTGGGAGGATGTGTCTCCAGATATGTTAAAAAATGCTTGGCATAATTTATGGCCAGCTACCATATTTCATAGTGAGGACGATGAAGATGATAGCCGCGAATTTGAAAGTTTTCGGAAATCGCAAACTAAAGGTGAAATTTTCCAGTTATTGTATTTTGTAAAGAAATGTGGAGAAGCGGTAATAAATGAAGATGATATAACAGAAGTTTTTTTTTGCGACGACAATGACCCAATCATCAATCAACGCACGGCAAAATCTGTAGTATGGTTCTAGATCTAGAAAATGCCGCTTCCAACAGTGAAGAAAGTGACAGAAAGGTTATTGAAAATGAAAAAATTTCGATTGACAAGTTAGTCGGTATTCGCAACACAAGCAATTACAGGACTTGAAACAGTGGAAACTTTGTAACTGAACAAGAAATTATGTCTGTTTATAGAATTAAAAAGAAAGTATTGGCACAAAAAACAAACCAACTTAAACAACTTACATTGAAAGAAATGTTTAATAAAGTAAACAAATAAATATAAGGTTTTTTTTTTTGTGTGTGTAAAATTTGATACCCTTTAGATCATAATTGCTCTTTATTTCATAAATTACGGTTTCATATTTTTAATTGTATAATTTCTGCATGCCATCTTACCAGATTTAAATTGATGATATATAGTCCGAAAAAAACCCTAATCCGGAATCTGAAGTCCCGACGAGTCTGGATTACAGACTTTGTACTGTAATTTTCAATCCTATAATAATAATAAAGACTTAAATAATTATAAATTAACAGTGATAGTTGAGCTGATTACATTCTAATTCAGGCATTCTAATTTTTGAGTATATTTCTTTTAAATGAGCATTTCCATATTATTGATATTTGCTGGTTTTTATGCCATAAAAGTTTATCTTTGATATGTTCCCATTATTTTATATTTTCATGTACACTCCCTTTTCTTATTATATATATTTTAAATTTAAATCTTCATTTTTTATTTGTTTTTGCAAAGATTGCATTATATTTCTTATATTTCGTAATTTTCTAATGTTTATTTCAATTACTTTGAGTTCTATTTCATAATGCCAATTTCCAATGTTTAATTTTAATACAAATAGTTTTGAATTAAAATGCATAAACACTAGGGTGTTGGGGGGACAATTACTCAAGTAATTTAACAATTTTACTGCATAAATTGCTTTTAACTCAAAATTGAATTAGCGAAAATGCTTAATCAGAATGACTTCTTTAATGCTCTGCATTGGTTCTTGATCCCTTCAATTCACGGAAATATTTGGCCTAACTTAAATTGCCAGTTTGGCATCGCCTTATTACTTGAGTAAAGGATGAAACACCTTCGTATTCATTTCTTAATTATTGTTCATTGAACAGGAGTTGGTTTGTTCCCCTTGAAAAGTCAACTAATTTCCGATCAATGGCAATGATTACTTCCTTTTAATTTAATTTCTTTTTACAACTGAAATTTTGTTATTCATGATTTAATTCAAGTCCCCGTTAAACATTTAAAAAAATTTACATTCAAGTTACTTTAAAACAATTTTCGGAATTAAACTTACTAACTATGAATTCACTCTTTTTAGATAATTCTACTAAAATTAATCTTAGGAGATAATATAATCAATATTTCTTTAGTAAATAAATTATTATTAACTTACTTTGCAGCTATTGCGCAAGTAGTAGAATAACTCAATTTCGCATTAAGTGAATTTAAGATCATACGACATATATATATACATACTTGTATTTGCTTTTTACGAATAGAGAATGTTTGTTAAATTATATATATATAACAGCTAAAATCTACATCTTGGAAATTTTTGAATTTCTGGAGAATAAACAAGATCTGGTTCATTATTCTTTTAAGTATTATAAAAATATAGTATGACTGTAAAAGAAATTCATTTTTACTTTAGCACATATCAGATTTTATTTTGAAATTTTTTTTTTATGCACAATTTTTACAATATTTGATAAGTGAAAATAGAGGCTTGTAGTCTCAATGAAATGTTGCATTAATACAACTTTTTTGTAACAACCATTTTCTTGGGAATTCAGATTCTTAGAAAGAATGTGGGGGGGGGGTCAAAGTCCCGCAGTTTGTGGGTCTTTGTTTACGCTTCATATAAAAGGTTAGGGATGGAAAAGCTGGTTATTGTTTATTGTAGGGGAAATGGCACTTAGATAAGGAGGGAGTCTTCAATTAAATTTTATGCGGTTCATAGCCTACCTTCTTTTTAATGTAATTATATATAAAATGTAACAGTTCATAACTAATGAAATTTAACTAGATAATTATTAAGATATTAACTTATAAGTAAATGCTACAATTTAGTAGGACATCTATAATTCTCAAAATTCAACAAGCCACATAAACCTTTGTCCCGAGTTATCCAGATTATCAAAATTCTAGTCTATAATAAAATATTGTACAAGTAATGAGCAATTAAAAAGAAAAATGACATTCAAAATTAGCAAAATTCACCCTTAGAGTAGCTTTGGTTTTATAAAAGAGAATGCATATTGAGAGAAATCAACATGAGATTTGTCTTTTCTAAGGAAGGCATAACATCAAGCTTCTTCAATAGCCAAAACATTTTTCTACAAAACAAATATATGTTTAATGTTAATTTTTGCCTAACTTTAAAATTTTGCATTAGTTTTCTTCTGTTCCATGTAGTCGGATTTCTATTAAAATTCAGCTTTTAATTTCAGAAGATAAGATAACAAGGATTGTCTGATTTCAACTACATTATAACGTAAAAATGATATAGTAATAATTTTAAATACCTGATGAATCCAATGACACGAGCACTGTTAAATTTAAGCCCCATCGGGATTTTTTAGTTTCCCCAAAGCTTAAAACAGCTATATTATTCTGAAGAACAGTATCTTTAAATTTTTCATGGAGGGATTGTAAACCTGAAGATCCTGAAAAATACCATGAAACTGATATACATATAATGACATACACTATGAAAAACAATTAAATTAAAAAAAGTTTAATGAATCAGTTAATACCTGGGAAAGGCAACAATAACAACAACAAAAAATATTGACTTCAAGAGGCTTATGTTACTACTTTATATTGCTAGCTTTGATATTTATCTTAACACTGATTTCATATTTTTAGATATTCACTAGGAGTGAAAGTTCAGAATTGAAATAACAGTGCAGTATAATCAATAACTGAGAAAAATGACAATATATGTGTAAGGAATGAATCGTCCAATCACTCTTGGATGAATATGGGGCAATGTTAATAAAATATGAAGTAGTATTTTCTAAAAATATGTCGTACCTTTATGAAGTTGGCTAATATCTACAGACGGTTGAAAAACAAAAGGCATCATTTGCAGTATGTTGACAATCTCACTTCCTTTATGTGGAACACTAAAGAAAACAATACCAACTGTGTTACATAAAACTGAGTGTGCTTTTTCATCTGTACTTGCAGCAGCTTCCACTAGTATTTGTTTGACTAGAAGACCTAAAATTTTAAAATGCTTCTTGAATTAAATTTAAAAAATTAAACACAGAATCTGACTAATTTTGTTCAGCTTTAAAATTCTTTATGAAGTTCCTTTCATTCAGCACTGATACATAAATTATGCTTTTTACCTACTATATAAACTTTAATACCAATACCGAATCATACAACATTTTACTGTAATCTTAAAAACCAACTTAATCAAATTACAGAACTTATCCACAAAAAAAAAAAAAAAAAACTTTTTTAACATTTAGCCATCATTTTTCAGCAATTTATGCACATAGGTATAATTTAGAATGAAAGCAACATCATTACTGGTTATAAAACTGTTGTTATGCTCTTTCTGTATAATAATTTTACACTGCTTTTAAATACCTCTCAACTTATGCATTTATTGATACACAACTTATACATTAACTATATACAGGGTGCTCACTAAATGCTTTACAACATTAGCATTCACTTTTTCTTTCCTAGGATGCTAACTCCGCTTTCCACCAGATAGCTTCTTCAATAGTTTTTTGTAAGCTATCTCATCTAATAGCGCATAGCCACTTTACTATACCTAGACACCACTTTTATGACTGTAGCTGCAGCCATTCGGCACTTAAAGGACTGGAATTTAGTGAGCACTCTGTATATAAAATGTATGTATATTGACATAAGTACAAGATAATGACGAAATGAAAGTTTTGAGAAATTATTATGATAATACATATACTTTATTTCATTCTACATATACTAATTAATTATAACTACAGTCAAAAGTCATTAATCAGGAATGATCTATAATCAGGATCTCAAAGCTACAAACTTTCTGCGCATGCGTCAACGCATAATGCGTTCACGCATGCGCATAGGCGTTTACACATGCGCGTTTAATGTATAACGGACGGTATAAGCTAAGCTAAAATTATCTAATTATCTATTTCAGTTAATGTTGCAGATTGCGTTGTTCCTTCAAATTGGATACGGCTTATTATATTTTGCACACTGTTAGAGCAATTTTATAAAAGTGAGCTTGAACTTTCAATTATGTCAAATAGAATTTCCGATTCTGGAGCTCCCAAAGGATCTATCAACAAAGCGAAAGCATGTTTCGATGTCCATCAAACAAAAAGTGGAATTGCTGCAAAAAATGGATAAAGGCATATCCTTTGTTTTTCGTACCATTCTGAAATTTGTTTATCAATTTCACGCTGCTCTGCGAGGGGGGGGGTAGTGCGGCACGCTATGAACTGGAAGTTGATCTGTCAGCACTATCCTTATCTTCAGGGCAGATGTTTTTATTTTATTCGGCTTCTACTAATTCCTTACTAAATGTAGTATTTCATCTCGATGTACTCCGTCTTTGATATGATTTAAATCAAATTCCTCATCATTATAAATATCACGAATACACATCAAACAGTTTTCTGGTTGCAATTTTCTAATTTCGACTATGCGTAATGTATGCTTTAGGCATGCGCGCGTTGAAAGAAATGTTTAATAAACAAATAAATATTAAGCTTTTTTTTTGTAAATTTTGATACCCTTTAGATCATAATTGCTCTTTATTTCATAAATTATGGTTTCATAATTTTAATTTTATAATTTCTGCATGCCATCTTACCAGATTTAAATTATCTATAATCCGGAATCGCCGAAGTCCCGACAAGCCTGGATTAAAGACTTTTAACTGTACATTTTTTTTTATAACTCAGGGCAGGATTTCAGTATATGGTCAAGTGCATCTTTGAATATTGACAGAGCTTTTGGATAAGTGCACAGAAGATTAACTGCTTATTAATTATATTTGTATATTTTTCCGATTTTCTAATATGTTATGAAAATGGCTCCTTTCGAAGCAAATTCACACTAGAAAGCAGAAAGTACTCAAAAATTTTAAGCCCCCCAAAATAATGGTGGTTAAGAACAATTATATATATATATATATATATATAAATCTTTTTAAGTAAACTTTTAAATAAGAACTGTGAATGAGCCTTTTCATGCCCTTTGAAGACTAGCTACCTGATCAGCCATTTTTTGTCTAATGAGCCTAATACTTTTCAGATATCAGTCTATTATTTCTTTGTACAACATAGTTTACTACTCTCCTTTTATCAAAATTTCCAGTGAATTACACTCTGACAACCAAAGAAGGGTTAAGATTCTGCATCACAAAAATGCATATATATTTATGAAGTTTAGCTAATGTTCATTGTAAAGGCAGAAATCTATAAAATGTTGTCCCCAGGATAAAGAGGCTAGTACTTTTATGAAGATTTCTAGCCTCATGTTAAAAATAGAACTTCATAAAGGAGTGGCACTTTTATGCAGACAGAGATACAAATGTTTTTGTTTTGATAAATACCAGCTTACCTACATAAAAGTAAGCCCATGTTGGGATATTGATATGAAGACACCCCCTCAATGAACATCATCATGTTCTTTATGTATTAACTGAACTAACTGAAAACTAAGATTTTGTGCCCAAGGTGAATATTACTAACAGGGATGAATGTTGTTGTTGAGAATGGATAGAGTACTATTCTACTCTCTCTTTATAAATCCTTTTCACTGAATAACAATATTTATTTAGTTACTGCATTTTATTACAAGTTATGGCATATATAGTCTACAAGAAAAAAAAATATCTTTATGACAGTTTGCCTAGATACAGATACATTTGCAATTCCAATTAACATCACAATCCTCCAACCTTTCGATCAAGTCTATAAAATTAGTAATCAAAATATGCAATAAAGTTCTAATTTCAAAATAATAATTCAGTTTAAAAGTTCAATCCTAAAATCTAGGAGTTAAGTCCTTCCAATTTTTGTCAAGACAGTTTTTTGATTCATTGGGGTGGAAGGAAGAAAGTGATCAGGTTAGGAAAGTCTCCCTTCTTTGCTGGGATCCTTCTTCAACAGATGCAGATATTTCCAAAAGGAAAAATTTTTGAACGGGTTGTGCCATCTCTCCACGAGCTGTTTTTAACTCAAACTACTCTGATGCTCCCATCTTTATCTTATCCAACTTTTGCTTTGAAAAAATTTTTAAGCTTTTGCAGGCATTGAACCAGTCGATCAAAATATTCATTTCTGTATCTCTTTCTTAAAATAGTATCCTTCAAATCTTGCTGATGTCTTAACCTTTTGTTAAGATTCATTTTATCAATTTGATCTAAGTCAAGTATTCCAGCTTCTCTAGTTTCTTCCAGAAACCTTGCTGAGTCAACGAGAAAAGGACCTCTGTATCATTAGAGGCATACATGAGTGGCCTAAAATTCACTACAGTTTCGTGAATACACAAAAGGCTCATGAGCTCCTCATATGTTAGAAATTATCTTCCGAAAACTTGATGTAGAAGTTTTTTAATTATCCGAATCATCCTCTCCAGAAACCCTCCCCACCAAGGAGCTGTAGGAAGAATAAAATTCTATTGGATTCCGTTTATTGAAGCTTCAGTTTTGTGGTAAAGGTAGTTGCTGCAGTTCAACATATTTTTACAATCAGATCAGTTGCATGAGCTTCTTGTGTACATAAGAAAAGATGCTAATGCTTTAGAGCACAATTCACTAACAACTATATAATTCCAATTATCAATTACTGCTTTTGCTATTAAAGAAGCTGGTCTCATAGCAGTGCACATAGCACATACTGGTCTTACAGCAGTGTTCCCACCAAAAAAAGAACATTATCTATAATCCCGGAATGCACTTTGAGATGAGAAAGAAACCAAGTTCTGGATAGTGCTGCCATCTGTTGAGGGAAATGGGAACGATTCCCCACAAATTAAATGACATCCCAGTATATGAATTTGAAAAGATTCTACGAAATTACTTCCATTATGACCGTAAATAACCATAGGACATCCTCTTCTTGCAATAAATCCGCACAATCCAAGTAAAAAACTTAAAAGATGAAGAGTTAAAAGAGAGGTTACTAATTTTAAGGCCCATTAGTGGCCAAGCGGTAACTCACTGAACACTGGTAGTTCGGTCCGAGATTCAAATCCCGCAAACGGGCTGGCTGCATGGGCGTTTTCGTGGTTTTCATCATGTGTAATGTGTATATGAGCCAGTTTACCTTACATAGTCCTCCACGAAGGCATCCCTCCTCTAAGGCAGATAGCCCTTGAGGCTTTGCCATGATCACATACACACACTAATTTTAAATGAATGGCTCTGTAGATAGCACAAGGAAACAAGATAATCCAGGCCTTTTCCTGATTTTTTTAAAAGCAGATCTCTTAAATCCACTCCACAGATCCCCAAAACAGTAGAGTCTCAAATACTATTTGCAAGTTAAGATACTGAAATACTCTCCATTCTTTTAGCTTCATGTTTTGCATTGTTTGATGCATCAAGATATAACTCTTCGAACTGTCTTCCTACTTTTCAGTATCTGGAACGTTTCTCTTAGCTTGAACAACAAAACATGTAAGCCAGCGTGATGCATCTCTAAATGCATATCTTTTAATGATATATTCAAGTTTGATTGCTTGGAAGTAGCATGGGATAGATAAAATCTTAGTGATCTTTCTTTCAATCAGTTTGGTTTTCGACTCTCATATTTTCTCTGTCCATAAAGACATTTATTATTCTCAATTTCTTAATGGTTTCTGCATCAAATACTGGTCTAACTAGTGTGAAGGAATTTTCTTTGAAAACTGGTTGATATGAAAGGTAGTGTATTTTCCCCATTTCATTATCTAGCACTTTTTCTACTATGCCCGATTGTAACCAGTCTTGCATTGCCACATTATAGTCTTCTAATCTAAGTTTCTTTGTGGTTGAAAGTAATCTCTTTTCAGCAGTGTCTTTATTGACTGGAAAATTGTCCTGATGATCAACTCATGGCAAACTGACTTCATGTCTACCATCATAATTTTTTCTCAAGGTCCTATTAAAGTGATCCAATACATCCATTTCCAGTTCTACATTAGACTTGATTCACTAGGATCAGTTATGCCCTTGCATCCACAAATAATCTAAATTATTGCTTCCTAAC